GATCCGAGAATAGTTTCGACATCCTCAACACTACTGAAAGATTCCTTATCTTTAAGGAACTTCGTAGAATGAGTCTTGGATTGATTTCCTTGACTACTTTGATCATCGTCTACTCTATACTTGATCAAAGTGGGGGCTAACTATAGACATCTACTTTTGGTCCCCTGTCCCGGCTGAAAGTGCTATGACAATAAATATTCCATCTTTGTGTTGGAATGAAGTAAGGATTGTCAATGGACTGTTGATTGAATCCTAAACACATAAAACACACTAGCTTGACCCAAACGAAATGAATTAAAGCTCAATAAAACAAAGCTCAATCATAAATTAGACCTAATCCAAGAATTTAACCTAATTTCGGACGGATTTAGGGTGCCTAAGTTAAAACCTAGAGTTGCAACAGAAAAATTCACGCGCAACTCAAGAAATTGCGCTCAACAGTCGCACGCAACTTACATAGTTGCGCGCAGCAGCCCAGCACAACTCTTAGTGTTGTGCTTGAGAAGATTCATGATTTCAGAAAGATACGGAATCGAATCTTACCATACAGCCTCAAGCAAGAACATACGTCACACTACCCTGTGCAGCGCAACTCCGCCACTTGCGTGTGGAAGCCATGCGCAACTTCCAGAAAGTTGCGCGCGCCCCCTGCTGCGGCAAAATCTCCGAAACCCTAATCTCAAGCATTCCCTATAAATAGAGGTTCAAAACGAGCTTTGAACACACAGAAAAATAGCCAGAAAGTCAGTAGTAATACTTTGTGAACTTATGCAATTATTAAACCCTCTTGTCCTAAACACTCACCCCTTTATTACTTTATCCTTACGGTGGAGGTTCCCGGACAAGGAGTCCATTTGCATTCTAAACAAAGATCTAGCAAGGAAAAGTGGTAATTCCCGAGCACTTAGTTAAATCACCTTTCTTTTCTTATATTATATCACTTAAATTGACTAATTAGTATTACTTGATTGCTTTAAATAAACTTTTAATTAATCAATTCAGCATAATATTATTTCGTTAAATAAGACTATAATTGAGTAAATTAATTGATTTTTTTATCACTTAAGTCAAGGTGAATCTTGTTTATTTGTTCTTTTTACGAATTTGAATTAAATAAGAATAACGACATTCGTTGCAATATAATCTTTTTGTGATTAACGCGTGTAAATAAAATCAATTAACTTAGTTTTCGGTATCACGTTGCATATATTGTTTGGCAATGAAGTTGTAAAAAAGGAAGAGCTAGTAGGGGCCGCCCTAGAGTTAGAATGGCGATTCCCCTCAAAAAGAAACGTTATCTTAGTACCCTCGCTCCCAAACTCATTTCTGGTACTAGTAGCCCAATTTGGGCATGGGTAAACTTATGATTCGTGCTAAATGTCCCTTGAACTTTACTTGGGAGAAAGGCATGAACGAGGTTTATGAGTTTTCCTAAAACTCATTGGCGACTCTCTATTGGTTTCTAATTAAAAAGGGTAATGATATACTCAATTCTAATTCAAGGTCCCCCAAACAGTCAGGAATTCAAATCCTAACACACCTTAAAAAGTGAAGTCCTAGGCTTTTAAAGGGCCAAGGGCATAGAGGAAATGGGATCCTCGACGACAGGCTAACCTCCTTGCACACGAGATTAAATTTTATCTTGTTAAAAATAAGAAAGATCGTTTTTTAAAAGAAATCCAGGAATTTGAGTACCGTGTCACGGTATTGGTACCGTGGTGCGGTACTTTATACAGTGTCACGACAAATTTGGCAGATTTTACGCGTTCTTAAAACTTCCATAACTTGAAATAAGGCATATAATATATCGTTGGAAAGATCTTTAAATCTATTTTTCAACCCAATTCTAATTAGGTTAAAATCTTTTGTAGATTTTAATATATCGCTGTTTGAGTGAAAAGGTGTCAGTTTTTGGCTTCATTTTAGTGTTTTGCTCATATCTTCTTCGTTTTAAATCGGAATTGGGCTTATGATATATAATTGGAAAGCTTATTTTAAGGCCTATCCAACCAAATAATATTTGGATCAAATTTATCGGGCCAAAAAATCAGCTTTGCTCAATTTTGAGTTGTAGTCTCGAAAAGAGAAAAATGGATTATGGTTTGTGGGTATGGGCTAGGAATTGGGTTGGTTTAGGTGAATTAAATGGAAATGTGTTGAGTTAAGGATATGATTTTAAGCACTCCACGGATTCAAGACGCAATCCGACCAATAACGGCGATAAAAGGTTATTACGCCCAGGTTTCTATGAATGCTCTCAGAGAAATAAATAACAAGTAAGGCAAATCTTTGATTTCAACTTCTCAATCTCAAATTTACAATGCTTCGCTTTGAATTCCCAATCTTTGTGTTGATTTCGGTAGTATTTCGTTTGATTATTAATTTTTGTTAGATTTAGAGTTTCGGATTTCAAATTTTGTTGTTATTGGTTTTAAATAATTGTCATTCTGTGTTATGTTTTGGTTGTAATTTGTTAAATTTTAGGGTTTAGGGTTTGCGATTTTTTTGGGAGTTTGAATAGTGTGATGGTTTTGCAGAATTGGTTTTTCAAGGAAGTTTATTAATGGCGATTGTCGATTTTTACTCTGCTTCTTGGTGATTCCCCTTCTTTTCCTCCTCCAATTGCCTTAATCGTAACACTCAGGCAACATTTTATTCTCTTTTTTCTAAATTTTGGGCTTTCCAAGAAATTGGAGACTTTTTAATATCTAGCTTATTTGGTGATGTTCCGGATATACTTCGATAACCCGTATCCAGGATCTGCAAAAACCCTATGATCCAGCTAAGTACCTACACAACCAATTCAAGTTAGCTAACCCCGGGGTTTGTTTGGGATAACCACTCCGATGACAAAGTCAGTTGCAATTTCAGGAACATAAGAGAAGAAGAAGAGAAAGAAAGATATAAAGAGAGAATGAGAGAGAGCGAGAGAGTTTGTCATGTACTCCGTATTTATTACCATGTAGATGTTTAAGGCTCCGTTTGGTAGGGCGTAAAACATTTTCACTGAAAAGTGTTTTCCCATTTTACATTGTTTGGATTGGTGTAAAACATTAAAATGTAAAACTTGGGGTGGAAAATCATTTTCCACCTTATTGAAAACATTTTCCCCCCAATTTAGAAGGAAAATATTTTCCATCACAAGTGGAGGGAAAACATTTTCCATCACAAGTGGAGGGAAAATTTTCCCTCACAATTGAATTTTCAATTCAACCAAACAATGGAAAATGCTTAAAATGAAAAATCATTTTCCATTCAACCAAACAACATAAAACTTTAAAATGAGTTTTCCATTGTAAAATGATTTTCATGGAAAACCATTTTACATTGAAAATGTTTTACACCCTACCAAACAGACCCTAAGAGAAGTGCGCTGCAGGGCAGCTATGCTAGCTTGTTGTACTGTATATGGAAGCAAATGAACAAAGTCATATGGGATGAATGTATGAGGAAGCCTGAAGCTGTTATCAAGGATTTATTTGCTAAGCTGTATCATATAATCACTCATATGATGCCTGTTAAGACCAGCAGGAGTAATCCGAATTGGTTTAGGGAGATTTTCTCAATGTGATTGGTTTGGTGTTGTATAGTTTGTGTAGGGTTATATTGCATTCTGTTTTTTGGAATGTTTGGGTTTGTAAATTCTTTTTGGAGCATTAATATAACTTTTTAGATTACAAAAACAATATAATAATCTATTAATTAAGATGATTCCTAAAAGTACCCATAAAGACTATATTATTAATTATGTTTAATTCACAAACATTAAAGTGAATAGTGCAAAATGTCCTAATGAGGCACTTATAAAAACAGAGGGAGTACAATACATGATAATTGAGAATTTTAAATTAAGAGTAAGGTACAATTCTTTTGGACTTTTCAATAGTTATTTTAGTTCAATTCAGTTCAGGTTCATTTCATTTTACATCGGTTTAGTTTAGTTCAATTCAAGCTAGCTTAGTTATTATTATTATTTATTAATATTCCATTCAAAAGAAAAATTATTAATATTATTAAAAAAAACTCATGACAATTGGTCATTGAGTCGGGTTAAAATTTTGGTGACTTGCAAATGTACGGGCTAAACTGGTTCGGTTCTAATCGGGTTTCAAGCCAGAAAACTTTGTTAAGAGCGCAAAAAAAAAAAAAAAAAAAAATAAAAAAAATGTCGGTTTTGAATTGTGGTAAAAAGTTTATAGCTCTACACCACGTCATCGTCGATATTCTACGAAAATATTTTTTTTTCTTATTATCTTTGTTTGTGACCTTTACTATGTGTTTGGTAAAGAAATAGGAAAGAAAAGAAAGGGAGGGAGGTGAAGGGGAGGGAAGAAAAAGGGAGGGGAGGAAAGAAAGATGGGTTTTCCTTCCAAATCTCTCCATTATTGGAGAGATCAATTTCTTACAATTTAATCCCTCCATTTCTTTCCCCTCCAATTTTATTCCTTCCTCACTTGTTATACAAATGAAAGATAATTCATCCCTCCATTTCCCTTCCCTTCCTTTCTCTCCATTTCCTTCAATCTAAACAACGTGTTAGTATTTGTTCCCACATTATTTTTGTCATTCTTACCTCATTTTTTTTGGAAACGCTCTTACCATACCTCATTTTTAAGATACAACTCTTATTGAATTATGTGGAGATCGATTTGGGTACAAAGAACACTACAAATAATACAGTAATAAATAAATAAAACAAATGGAATAAACTAATAAGAGGAGACAATAATCATGCTGTTCAAATTTATAGTAGAAAGAATAGATTTTTGATCTAGAATCCGTCAAAAATTAGTTGTTACATTAATATGACTCCATTTTAACTAAAAATACGATCCTACATATTTAGAACAATTAAATTTTACGAGTAGTATAAATCAAATTTCAAGAATAGAATATGTGACTATTAATTTTGTAAGTATAAATTAAATCATCACAACCTATGTAAACCAGCAAACACACATACACCCACTCAAAAACAGTAGAGTATAATGCTTTGATTTTAATTTAGTTAAATTTTTAATCGAATGTGTTCACGTGAAACCCCAATAATGTCTCATGCACAAGTGGGTCCAAAAGCCAGCCATCCTTTTGTTCCCATGCCTAACTCCAGCTCTCAAGAATCTCCTCTATTTCCCTCCCTTCTTTAACTTCACTCTCTAATTTTCTCTTTCTTTTTCTCTCTACTTTCATTAAAATTCTTCATAAAAATGAGGCAATTAAGAGGACTTTCACCATTAATTACCTCACTAATTCTTCTTATAATCTTCAATGTTGCAAAGTGTTCTCAAGATAATAAGAAGATATTCAATATCCACAAATTTCAAAGAAATAAACACCACTCTCAAAATGCCATTTCAAGTTGTTTTCACCTCAAATCAAGTAAGTACTGATAAAATTAATAATAACTTGGTTACATATATTCATATAAATTCAATGTCCAATTTTTTTTTTTTTTTTTTTTTTTTTTTATTATTATTATTATTATTATTATTATTATTATTATTATATATATATATATATTTTTTTTTTTTTTTTTGCATAATACTTTAGGGGGTAGAGCTTGTTAGCTGGAATGAGAGCTTGTATAATTTTCATGATTGAATGCAATATAGTCTATGTTACTAGGATTCAGGTATTAAAAAACCGGATACAGGTTTGTTTCGAAGTGTCAAACTTGGTTGTATGATGTCGGGCTTTCAAAGATCCGACTTGAGGTTAAATGAAGAGTCCAAATAATAGTACATTATTTATATGGTCTGCCTAAATTGGGTTACATGCTATGAATATAACTGTTTAAGGAAGTTATCTCATTCATTGGTTGATTTCATTTTCAAGTAGTACTATTGTTTGTGCACCAGAAAAATTCCATGGTAAAAAAAGCAATTTGATGATTGTATTTTCTCTTTCTCTTTCGGTGATTGCTTTTTTTATTCCTTAGGTAGTTAGGTTGACCTAAATTATTTACACATTTTGACCTCCTAAGACCTTTCAACAAGTGTGCATGCACCAATTATAGTAAGAAATGTATCAACTTTAGTTTAAACTATCTAATTTATGTTAATCACTCCATAAAAAAGTAAATAATGCTATTGTTTTAATGTATAGTTTCACAGTACAGTTTTTGTCAGTTTCGGTGCCGTGATTCAGCTACAAAAGTGTAAATAAGGGCACGAGTCAATAGGTTAATTATGGTGTAAGAACCTTATTATCTGGCTATAGACCTTTCAACATTTTATGTATATATAAAATGAATGTGACAACTGTGTTATAGACTTAGAGATCAGCTTAATTAAGCACTTAAATCTTGACTGCTAGCTAAAGTTAGCACATTATTGATGCTTTTTTACTTTGTTTTATACACTGTTATGCCAGTGCAAATTGCAAAGTATGATGAAATATGTAGTATAACAACTAGTTTCAGATCTGTAATTTCATGCTAAATGATTGTTTATGCTTTTAGGAAGAGAGGAAGATTCAACAACCCTGGAGATGAAGCATCGAGATTTTTGTTCAAGAAAAAATAGTCATGATCTAAACAAGAGTCTTCAAGAACGTGTAATTTTGGATAATGATCAGGTTCAGTTTCTACAATATAGGATGAAAAACCTCATCTCGGGTGAACTTCAAACCCTTTCAAGCACCCAAATGCCTCTGAGCTCTGGTATGAGGCTCGAAATCTTGAACTATGTGATCACTATGACGCTTGGTGGAAAGAACATGACAGTGATAGTGGATACTGGAAGTGACTTGACTTGGGTGCAGTGTAAACCATGTAGCTTATGTTATAATCAACTAGAACCCATTTTTAATCCTGCGACTTCTCTGTCATACCAATCGATTACCTGCAATTCTACAGCTTGTAGATTGCTGCAGGAAACGACTGGGAATCAGGTAGCTTGTGATTTTAATCCATCAGCCTGTAATTATTATGTTAGCTATGGTGATGGGTCTTATACTCGTGGTGAACTAGCAACAGAACGCCTTGATATAGGAAATTCTCATGTAGATAAATTTGTTTTCGGGTGTGGTAGGAGCAACAAAGGTCTGTTTGGCAGTGCTTCAGGTCTGATGGGATTGGGAAAGGGTAATTTATCATTGATTTCTCAAACATCTGAGTTATATGGTGGAGTATTTTCCTATTGTTTACCTTCCACGGACGAAGGCAAATCAGGATCACTTACCTTAGGAGGAAATACTTCAGTATATAGAAATACTACTCCCATTTCCTACACTCGAATGTTCCAAAATCCTCAGCTTTCTTCTTTCTATATGCTTAACCTAACAGGTATAGGCGTAGGTGGTGTGCATTTATACACTTCAAGTGTTCAACAAAATGGGATTTTGATTGATTCAGGAACGGTGATCACGAGGCTTCCTCCATCAATTTACAGGGCTTTAAAGGCCGAATTTGTGAGACAGTTTTCTGGATTTCCATCAGCCCCATCATTCTCAATCCTGGACACATGTTTCGACCTGAGCTCATACAAGGAGGTTAAAATTCCTACTGTGAAGCTGCAGTTTGAAGGAAATGCAGAACTAAATGTAGACGCGAATGGTGTGTTTTATTTAGTAAAATATGATGCATCTCAAGCGTGTCTAGCATTTGCTAGCCTCGCATATGAGGATGAGATTGCGATAATAGGGAATTATCAGCAAAAAAACAGTAGGATCGTATATGATACAAAACTCTCTCAAGTAGGATTTGCAGAAGAAGAATGTAGTTATTGAGTAGCTGGAACGTTCAGTGTTTGTTTGTGTATACTGTATACAGCTTGTCAGCAACTCGCTGAGAGAATCGTAGCTGTGTTAAATCTGATAGTTGTCTCCTCGGATTAGGAGTATGATCAGCTGAGAAATTGTATACTTTTCATTTGTTACAGTAGATTTCAATCTTATGTAAGGGTAAAAGGTGCCCATCATTTTAATCTGCCAAACTTAGCAGATTTATTAAGAATGTATATGTTAAGATTGAACATTTATTTAGCCTCTCCCTAAAAGCCGCTATATAACCTATTTAACAGAATCACTAATCATACAAGTCTGCCGTACATAATTTTCCCGTGTGATTGAAGATAAGTTCCTTTAACATGGCTCCACTAGATGGGATGTTTCAACAGCGGTCTTCAGTTCATAGACCCACATTTTTTGTGGATTTAATCATGTCATGTTCCACTGTAAGTATACAAGAAAAATAAGGTAGAGAAGTGTGACATATAATTGCTTTATCTAGCAGCAATAAAGTCAGGCATGTAGAGATAGAATAATGGTATATAGTACAGCATATAATTTTTTAAGCTTAAAACTAGCCTTTCTATTCTTTACTATCTTTTACAGAAAAGTTATCATTCATTTAAAAAACAAAACCAATTATCACTGTTATGATGTATCATACAGCACTATCTTTGCTAGGAGAATTGCACAGGTAAGCAGAGAAGTTTCTAACCATTAATTGGTTCTTCAGCCATTATGAATGCTGATTATGTCAACTTCATTTCACCATATTTGATCATCAAGAAATGCTTACTCTGGCCAAACTGTAGAAAATTTGGCTCCATCGCAATCATACTGGCCTGCTGCCAGTTCAATTTGCAGTAGTAAACAGCCAAAAACACTGTGATCAACATTGATCATTACCTCTGACATCTGAACAGTGAGATATGACATTTTGATCAGCTGGTATCAAGAAGAGAGGCCATCTCAAGATTATCAGCCGTAAGCGCCTCAGTATCCCTTTTAGTCTTTGATATTTCTGAAGGGGGCACTGGCAAGTTTGGATCAGTTCTCGGCACCAGAAACAGCAAAAATATTGGTGTCAACCTTAAAAGATTACGAAGTAGAACTGCAAGCCAGAGGTTATCAAATTCTGACCGTGTTACATGTAAAAAATGTAAAACAAAACCTCCTACCCATGTCGAGGTTAGCATTCCCACTTGGTCGATGGACATCAATAATGCAAAGAATGTTCCTTCTATCCCAGAAGGGCAGAGCTTGGAACTAAGTACAAGCAAAGGCATCCACTTCAGACGTCCTATCATATGCGAAACCCCTTCATCAATTACAATGAAGAGGTAATCCGGAATGTAAAGATTCAGATTTAGACGAAGCACCAATACTAGATCCAGCATTCCTGAAGCACAATGCAGCAACTGCGTCCAGAAAAGTAAGTCATGGTAAGGGCGATTTTTCAACATATTCTGATAGAGAAGAACCCCACAAAGAGAGCCAAGTGCCCCTATGGAATATATGGATCCCACAATCTCCTGCATAAAGTAAACATGATGTTAGATATTTGAAAAGTGGTATCAATATTTGACAGTCCACACTAGCAATAATATAGAATTCTAGCACTCCGACATTACATTATAGTATACTATAGGAATCGATTTATACAAGTAAAAACCAAATAAATATTCTTCTTAAGATTTAAGCTATATTGACAACTATACACTATGCCATTGTGGCCTCATGACCTAGCATATCTACTTCAAACTCTATGCCACTCTCTTAGAGCCATCCCCAAAAGGCCAAAACATTCAGAATCATGGGAAATAAAGAAGGGGCAAATCGGCTGATCGAACTTATGGCTGTTCATCGGTCCAAGACCAACCCGGATCGAACCGAAGACCGGACCAATTAAGCTACGACCAAACCCGGACCAGACCGGAAAAATCGGTCCAAAACCCAGACCGGACCGGTTTGGACCGATTTTAGAATTTTTATAAAAAAAATTCTAAAATTTAAATAATTTATGGAAAACTCGAAATTAAATAAAGGTAAAACAATATTTTAACGTCTTTTTTTGTATGTTTAGTACAAAAAAGCTCATACGACTAAAGTTTTCCAATCTTGTTAAGGATTATCTTAATCATTATTAAAGGTTTTATGTATAATTTTAAGCAAAAAACTGGTCCGATCCAAGACCGTTTTTTATAGGGTTTTGGACCGGACCAGATCGAAGACCGGGAAAATAAATTTCTCGACCTGGAGACCGGACCGATTAATTTGGTCCGGTCCATTTTTTCGGTTCGGACCAATTTTCGAACACCCCTATTCGAACTAATTATGAGCTAAATATAGTAATAAAAAATTAAATCAAATATAATATTGTCTCAATGCCCAATTCTCTAGTCATAAAATGTGATTAACAATAGAAGATTGCAACATTGGTTCAAAATTAGACTAATTATACCCTGTGATTTTTTTTACAATAGCCTTTTGAGAAGTGACTACCACAAGCCTTATTATGTGGCATGAATAGATTAGATATATTTTGCAATATAACTTTTTTGATTTTTCAAAGCATATTTTAATTAAAATTCATTTTTTAAATTTCTGAAATTCTTTTTTTATTTTCGAAAATTATATTTTATAATTTCTGAAATTCTTTTTCTAATTTCTTAATTAATTTTCAGAAAATCAAAATTAAATCAAAAATCAAAATTAAAAAATTAAAATTAAAAAAATTGTTCTTCATCCAAAATAAAAAATTTTCGAAAAAATATCACTTTTATTCAGCAATTCATTCAATGTTTAAGTGTTAGGTCTTATATATCCATGTCGTTCTTCAATTCATGTTGTAGCGTTTCTTTATATCAGTTTTTGATTTTTAGGTTTTTGTTCTTAAAAAACAACAATGACATCTTTAAGTATATGTTAAGGAAGAATTACCTGTATAGGTGTTTGCCAATATCGTGGTGGCCGGCGGCATAGTGATTTAGGATGAATGATTGGTGTTCTTCTGACTTTGTAATCGGAGAAGACGTTCATTTGTTTTTACTTTTTGAGTCCTAGTTTGATCCATAAACATGTAATTAATTTATCGCGAACTTGTTTGTGTCTTAGGTAATGACCTAAACTACTTAAGGTCATTACCTAAGATAGTTTAGGTTATTACCTTAGGTACAAACAAGTTCGCGAAAAATTAATAACATATTTACGGATCAAACTAGGACGGAAAGATAAAATAACAAACGTCTTCTTCGATTACACAGTTGGAAGAACACCAATCATTCAGCCTAAATCACTATGCCACCGCGATATTGCCAAACACCTATGCGGGTAATTCTTTCTTAACAAATACTTAAAAATGCAATTGTTGTTAGACTTTTTAAGAACCAAAACCTAATAATCAAAAACTGGAAAAAAAAAAAAAAAAAAAAAAAAAAAAAAAAAAAAACGAAACGTTGCCACATGAATTGATGAACGACATGGATAGATCGAGCCTAACATTGAATCATTAACAAATCTTCGAAAAATTATGATTTTGGATGAAGATTAATGAAGAGCAAGATGAACAATTTTTTTTTTAATTTTAATTTTTTAAATTTGATTTTTAATTTTTTAAATTTGATTTTTAATTTAATTTTGATTTTCTGAAATTAATTAAGAAATTAAAAAAAAAAAAAAAAGAATTCAGAAATTATAAAATAGTTTCTCTGTTTCTTTTTAGTGACACGTTTCTTTAGTTACGTTTGTCAATGCACAACTTCAACCATTAATATCTTTAATTACCTATAAATAAAAATTATAAAAAGTTGATATTTTGAAAATATATACCGTGACGAATCTAACAAGATCCCTCATGACTATATTTTTCATTACGTATAAAGCACAAAATACGGTCAAAGGGGAGTGAGTGAATAGTGCTAAAGTCAAAACGTGTCAACTAAAAAAATACGGAGGTAGTATAATTTTTGAAAAAAAAAAAAAAAAAAGATTTCAGAAATAACAAATAAGAATTTAATTAAAATATGCTTTGAAAAGTCAAAGATTACATGGCAAAGTACATCCAATCAAATCATGCACATAATAAGGCTAGGCTATTGTAAAATCATCCGTGATTTTAACATATTGTTGGCAGAAAAGTATAAAATTCAGAGACAATTATTGGATTTGGGTTAAGAAGGCCAGCTAAAAGGAAGAGGAAGGTATTATCTAGAGAGTATAAAGATCTTTTCTTTCTTCTGTAGCCTACTGCATAACCTTTAAACATGCCTCTGTTTCAAGATTTTGCTAAGGTACCGCAAAATCTGTTATTCCAACAAAAGATTTTGAGCGCGCGCGCACACACACATACAGTCATTAGCTAAGCTTGTATAAGAAAGACTTGAGTATCATATCATCATAACGGGTAATATTATCAGAAAAGAACAGATTAAAATCTTTGGATAAATAGTATTTCTTCATTAGATGGATTAGTTCGCAAATAATATTATGAATTGGTGGGTCTGTCAGCAAAGTTTTATCACAAGGATTCACAACTGAATTTGAATAGAATAGTACCATCTTCATAATGTCAAATTTTCTATTATCCAAAATCCTCTAAGTTCTTTATCACCAATAAGCATGCTTAAAGGGAACTTAAATTGCAAGCAAATCAATCATTCGCCATAATACCCATTAAAAAAGCTTACAAGTTTCAGTATTGATAAAGCTTAAAAGACAGCTATGACAGGCTCAAATAATTTTCAGAAAACAATAAATTACTATCTCACACTTTTGCAATATTATACTAATTTTTTACAACATCACCCCTTAGTTTTCACTACTTGAGGTTCTATAGCAGCTAAAAAAAGTCTTATGATTAAAATCTGTGAGAGCTTTAGATTTAATAGCAACAAAATTACATACTGTGTATAAAGCTAAGAATTCCGTTCAAGACTCAATGAGACAACATAGGCCTAATGAAAAAGTCTTAAGAAGTGTTTAAGGGGATACTTGGGCTAATGATATTCTCCCTCCGTATTTTATTACTTGCTCCACTATCTTTTTGCGCCCGTTTTTTATTACTTGCTCCATTTTCTTTTTTGGAAACTTTTAACAATTTTTACTACTTTCCTCCCCACTAGTGGTCCCCTCATATCATATTTTAATATTTTTCATATTCTATTTCCTCCCCACTTATACACCCAATTTTGCCTTTTTTTTTAGATTTTTTAATTCTTCAGTCAACCCCACTTTCATCATATTTTATTACTTTCTACTATTCCTCCTAAAACCCCTGCGCATGGAGAAATGGAGCAGATAATAAAATACGGAGGGAGTACCATTCAATGAGAATAATAATCACCTGTACCACGAATTATGCCACAGAATTCCAATTTTGTGAAACTGCCATGTGAAAAGGAGTTTCCAACACAAAAACAAACAGACCACAAAAATTTATGCAAGTAAAAAAAATTCGTGGCAAACAATTTGCCATGAATTATTCCCTCAGGTAAACATTATTTTGACAAGCAAAATACTGTGGCACAGGTGTCAATTTGTAGTAGTTTATAATTATTGTATGCATCTAAAGGGAATGTTAACAACTAAAGGCACAATATAAGACAGCCACACTGCAGCAACATAGCCAAGCAGATATAGCTAAAATATAGCACACATATACTTTGAGAAAGGCATTACCTTTGAGAATAATGGACCTCCCTTCCCATCTGTATACCAATAAAACAGTCCCTCATGGATGTTTATGTTAAGAGCAAGTGACGAAAACATATAAAGAGATGGCTTCCAGACATGCTGGGACTTTAATGTGGTCCACATAGCTCTTACAGCATCACCGAACTTCTCATTTACCTGTTTAAATCATTAGTCATATAAAAATTTGATCAATACAACAAAACTCTTAGAAAGGGAGAGGTTATCTTCCAAGCTCAAGGAGAATGACCTAGAGAATTACCCTACTATAGGAGTGATTTCGCACAGGAGCGTCCTTAATTGTCAATCCAACCAAAACAACCAGTGCAGGCGGAAGTGTCAGCAGGCCAAACACACCCTATGAGTGAAAGAAAATTAGAAAACTCCTGCTATTACAACCACATTATGGAGAGCAATAATCTAATATTAGAAGTATTAAACTTCTAGGGACGAGAGAGATGGTATTGATTCATAGAATAAAAAGAGGAAATTGAATAAACAAAGGTAATATAAAGAAACATAGTAGTGCAGCATACAACAAACATGATATAGGGATAAATATAAAAAATAAAAATAAAAAAAATAAAACCAAACAAACACAAAGGAGCCAGCAAATAATATTGGTTTGGTGAAGAAAATATAGAATTAAATAACTTTCCTTTTTGACTTGAACAAGAATAATATGAGAAAAATAGTAAACATTTGATGACTTCATAGCTCACACAATCAGTGACAACTGACTTTCTCACACTTGAAAAGATTCACCTACCACACTCTACTACTCCTGAGCTTTTCCGTGACTAAAATTTTCATAGAACTGCTAAATTCTCTAGGCCAATGAAAGTTTCCAGCCTTAAGTCCTAAACTACACGGTTATTTTAAGTGCATGTATAACAATAAATTAAAAAGGGCAATGTTTCCAAATAATTCACAGCTTTTTAATAAGAATGAAACAGAAACCTATAACTTCTCTCATACATCTCAAATTAAGAAACTGCATTGTGATCCATCAGACTTAACTTCCATTTAACTTATTTAAGGCATTTTTGTTTTAAAAAAAGAATAAAAGAAGTTTAGTTGCTGAAAAATGATTTGGACAATCTAAACTTCTTTGCAGTCCATGAAGTGGCTGTGAACTTTTCAATAATTGTAAAATTAGCCTTGGCTGCCCATAAATGAGGGGGAAAAAGAGAAGAGTTTCAAACCACTAGCTCAAGTGAGGTTTGAATCCCAAAAAATGATTATGCCCTAATCTCTTTTCCAATGTGAGACAATTCACAAATGCATACACAAATAAATATACATAAAACATGGGGTTCCAATACCAACCCCCCCTCCCCCCCCCCCCCCCCACCCAAAAAAAAAAAAAATAAAAATAATATGTGAGAAAACATATGTTTTTATCATCTCAGGGATTCATACACAAGAGATACGAAAAACCCTTAAAGAGACCAGCCTTGGCTTTGACACCTATAACTTTTTTATATTTGGAAAATGGGGTCTGGTCTCTTATTACTATGTTGCATAGTTTGGAAAGCTTATGAGTTCAAGTGGAGTTCCATCCAAAACCAATTGGCAATGGAAAGAGTAACCTCCTAAGCTAACAAAGTAGTCAAACACTCTCCTCTTTTCCAGCGTGGATGAACTCACGTGTACACTGTACGCATATAATATGAGGTTTCAATGATGATCTTTCACCTATCTTTAGAGTAGTACACATCAGTACCGTATATAAGAAGAAACAAACCTTGGACCCAACTAGATGAACAAGAAATCCACTTATTATGAACCCTGCTAGAGCTCCAATTGAAGAGCTTAATCCAGACAAACTTTGCATGTCACTAGCAAGTGTAGGATGAGTGCTACTATTCTCAGTGATACAAGCATCTATTGTCACATCTGCTATTGCTACCCCAGCACTTCCAGCCATGAGAGACAGAACAGCAGGCACCAGATGCAGACCATCAACAATAGACAGGACAAGCATTGACGTAACTCCAAGAAACCCTGGAAGGTCAAAGATTAAATCCAGTACTAAATGATTGTACAAATTTTTGGCCACCAGGGGAATATGATAGCATGAATGTTCTGCTACCAGTGCAATATGATAATAAAACTTGGATGTCCTCTAATTGGAACTTGGAAGCATAAAATTGTATTTACTGAATAATTTTTATTGAGATATGCTATTTCATTTTTAACACAGTACTATATTTTGTTACCTTGGTTATTATTAATTTTGCATCTTATAAAATTGGTTGATGCTTTCTAACAGCTGCAAATAATTTTAATAGTTAGTTTCTTCATTGGGCACTTACCTCCGAGAACCCCTAGAATGCATATACTCCTTTATTTCCTAATGTATGTTTTCAGAGTTAAAGACACCGAATATATTAGTTATTTTAGCACTTCCCCCACCCACCCCACCCCCTCTCTTTCACCATCTCTTGATTACACCATTCATATGTTTTCATCAGAATTGACCTTTAATTGCACATCCAAGAAATCATTAAACTTGTTTTCTTGAGATCTTGACTACAGGAAATTGAACTTCCTATTGAAATACTCCGTAATGTTTTTACTTGGTTTTTGTGGGGTTAAGATATATACTCCTACAATTTGTAGTAAGTTGTGAATAGAGCTTACAATATTCTACATTGTATTTCACAAGAATTCGTACTTTGTACTTGCATTGTTTTACCAAGTCTAACAAAAGACTCTTTCAAAAAAAAAATAAAAAAAAAAAGTCTAACAAAAGACCATGCAAAAATTTATCCATTTCTATGTTGAGGAGCAACTAATGGATCATCGACAAAAATCCTTGCATACAGCCCAAAAACCCCAGTAATCAAAATCATACATAAATTTTTGGAAATTTTGTCAATAACTACCATTTAGATGATCACTTTTGAAAACAACTACCTTTTAAAAAATAATTTTGAAAAAACTCCCATAAAAATACAAAAACTTTAAGTAGCACTACCACATTTAGTTTTACCAGCAAGAATCTCCGTTTTGGGGCCTATTTTGTAAAACTTCCCTTCAAAAAAACCCATATTAAATGACAACATTGTTCTATATTAACCCTAAATTATGTAATACACTTCAATTTCCCCAAATTCTCCAATTTCGTAAAACTCTAAATTCATTTTTTTTTACCAAAAACCCTAATTTTGATATTAAATTGAGAAATTAAATCAACTACAATGCAAAATTAAAGAATATTCACCTATATCGTGTTCGACTACCGAACTCCTTTAATTTCTTGATCACAATTGATTGATATTTTATAAAGTATGCTCCCTCAACCGGAGATTCTAAACGAAAAATTAAATGTGATAGTACTACTCAAAGTTTTTGTGGTAATTTTCCAAAAAAAAAAAACAAAAAGGTAGTTGTTTTAAAAAATGATCATTTAAATGATAGTTGTTACAAAATTTCCTCAGCAAATAACTTTGAATAATCTTTATCATCTTGTTCATCAATAGAATTGATTTGCTTCATTTAATTACTATACTGAGCAACAATTTCCAATTCAGCAATTGAAATAATCTAATCTCCTCGTAATTTTGCACAACAGCAGTTGTCATAATTAGACATTCATCACAGTCAAACATGATTGAGTTGAGATTACATTACTATGAAATTACAAGAATTGCACACCCACTGACCCACCAAATAAACAAAAATGATACTCCATGTATGCAACTTTACAACAATTAACAAACACCAATAACACTTCAAGTACCATATCAACACGTGATTTTGTCATACATTCCTAAATTATAACACAAAACACCATTTTGCGAAAATTAAAACCGAAATGAAAAAAGAGAGGGAATCATACCAGCAAATATAAAGTATGGCCTTCTTCTATACCCAGAAAGAGGAACAACATCAGTAAGAAGACCCCACAAAGGCTTAACAACCCAAGGAAATCTGATAACCCCCATTGAAATCTGAGCTTCAGATGGTTGAATCTTTTGTTCATCTTTCATATAATACTGCATAGTAACACGGCTTAAACCCATACTTAACCCTTGACTAATTCCATAAACTGCAATCACACCCATCACAAAACTCCAGTGTAATTCATCACATAACATGATCACCCAATTTATAGCTGACATTATTATGCCCCAAATTCCTCTTTTTTTGCTCTTATTTTTCTGGGTTTGTTCGTTTTCAAGTGGGTAACTCACTCCTTCATCTCCTTCTTCCATGGATTGAATTGAATTGATTGATCTTAGATTTTTGAGGGTGAAATTTGGGGAAGAAAGGTGGTACTCAGTTGAGGAATTAGAGTTTTGTGCATTGGGTATGTAGTAATTTTGTCATTAGATGTTAAATTGAAGTGCAATGTTGATTGTTGGAGGCAAGAGGAAGATGACTGATCTGAGTATGTAACGGGTTTGGTATAAAACACTACCTATAAGGCTATAAGTACCTAATCCCACTACTCTCTCCAAATTATTTCTTCCATTTTTATTTATTTATTTATTTTTTAATTTATTTTTCTTTTTTTTTTTTTTTTTTTTTTTTTGAAAAAACCCACAACTTGGGACTAATATTATAAATCAAGCAAAGCTACATTGAGGATACAAATCGGGATTACATCAAGCCACACACGTTGGCCATACTTCCACGGTTGAAACCGAGCCAACTCATGTGCCACTCTATTCCCTCCTCTTCACAAAAGACCAAGAAACACAATCAAAATCTCTACAAAGATGAAAAATATCCTCTAACATCAGATGAAACTCACTGAAACCATGGTCTTTCTGCTTCAATGCTTGGACCACCTGAAGGCAATCACCTTCCACCCCAATGCTACGTACCCCCCTTCTCCGCAACCACACGCAAAGCCCAAGCACATCCCTCACTTCAGCCACCTTCACATCCCACTTTTCTTTGTTCTGCGAGACCCCAACTGCAATCAAGTCCCCCCCAGCATCCCTCACCACTGCCCTCAGCCCACAACCTAACTCCCCAATAAAACTCGCATCAACATTAACCTTCATAACACCCACCCTAGGAGGAGCCCACACCGAGGGAAAATTATTTGAAGCAGCAGAACCCCCACTCGCCACAATCCACTAGCTTTAGCTTCTAGAGTTTCTTCACCAATTTTTCTCACATAACGCACCACCGCACCTGGTTCCTTCAGTTCACCCTCCACCACAAGCGAATTTCTAGCACCCCAAATGGCCCAACACAAAGTAATAACCTCAGCCACTTCATTCTCACTAAGCTCAAGAAAGCACGACTCCCACCAATCTAGAATATTGTACACTCTCATCTCCGCAACGAAACTATAATCAGTCACATCCTAAATAGCCTTCGCTCCCCTACAATCTTTGAGAGCATGTATAGTGGACTCAAAGCCTCTATTGTAGATCACACACTCAGGGTTATAGTCATAGATTTGAGTTTGAATACCACAACGAGTCGGCAAGGCATTTTGACAAGCTCTCCACGCAAAAACGTTAACTCTAGGAAGCACCTCAAGCCACTGGTTAGTCCACACCCGAACACTCTCCCCATCCCCAATCCTCCATCTCATCACTCTCCTTACTACCCACCGAGTCTCCGCAATGCCACACCATTTATAGCTAGGATTAACACCCACATTTGCCTCCATAAATGAAGAATTCGGGTAATATCGACCCTTTAAAACCTGTTCAATTAGAGTACCCGACTTCAAAACCAACCTCCAAGCTTGCTTCCCGAGAAGAGCCCAATTAAAGAGTTTGGGATCACGCAAACCCAAACCACCTTCATTTTTTGGTTTACATAGTTTTTTCCAAGAGAGCCAATGTATCTTCCTTTCCCCTTGCTTCTGACCCCACCAAAATTGAGCAACAAGAGACTTCAATTCATCACAAAAAGAAGATGGTAATTTAAAAACACTATTGCGTAGGTAGGGAGAGATTAGGCCACCGCCTTTATCATAACCTCCCTACCCGCCTTGGATAATACCATCCCCTTCCAACCTTGGAGTTTCTTCCAAAGTTTATCTTTCACTCCTTTAGTAATAACCTTCTTTGACCTACCAACCACCGTAGGGAGCCCCAAGTATCGATCATGAATATCCACCATACGGACCCCTAATTTGTTTGCCACCTCCACCCATCTATTATCCGAAACACCCTTACTAAAGGAGATAGTTGTCTTAGCTTGTCAAAATTTAGTTCTTGGTCCGACGAAAACTCATAGGTCTCAAGCACTTCCTGTACCACCTCCACATCTCCCAACGAGGCCCTCGAAAAAATAATGCAATCATCCGCAAACAACAAATGATTAATAGAAGGGGTCGTTGGCGCAATACGAACACCATGAAGACTACCTCATTCCTCCGCACTTTGAAGCAAATGAGAGAATACCTCTACACACAAAATAAACAGATACGGTGAGATCAGATCCCTTAGCTTGATGGATGACCCTATTAGGCACAAACTCATCCGACGGCCGTCCATTAATTAAGACGGAAAAAGAAACTGATCGAACACATCCCATCACACACAGTCGCAAGCCAAAATCAAAACCAAATTTCTCCAAAATTGCATCAAGAAAATCCCATTCAATTCGATCATAGGCCTTCAACATATCCAGCTTCATAGCCATACAACCTCCCTTATTTGGCAAATTTTTCATATAGTGGAAGTTCAAAAGCAACTAGAATATTATCCGTAATCAAACAACCCGGAGTGAAAGCACTCTGGTTCACTGCAATTATATTATCAAGGAAGACTTTTAACCTGTAATCCCCCGTATTTTTAAATATTTTATAAATGAAATTTTATTTTATTTATAATATTTATTTGTATTTTTCCATAATTTAATTTTCAAATTATTAATTTGGGTCAAAAATTATTTTAGGCTAAATTATTTTATGTACCTATATCCTACAATCCATTACTATAAAAACAAAGCCTAACCCATTTGTTTATTTAATTGGCCCATTATTTTCATGAGGCCCAATTCTACCCTACAATTCTCTCCTATAAATACCCCATGAATCCCCAAATTTTCCCCCACACAAAAAGTTTAGTCAAAATTTCTTCCTCCCTCTTGTTTTCTCTTCTTTTGTTAATTCAACCCAAGTTTAAATCTTTATCAATTTTTGTTATTTAATTGTTATTATTGTGGTTTGTTTATGTATATGAATTATAAAAGATTATAAATTTATAAGTTTTATTATGCTTAAATTATGCATCAAACTTTTAGATTTATTTAGTTAAGAAATTAGGGTTTAAAACTTGATTTTCATGGTTTTAGGGCTTAAAAACGTGTTGCTAAAGTTATTCAATTTAAGCATGATTATATTGTGATTCTACTATGATTATGATGATGTTTAATTTAAAAGCAAGTTTTCAATTTTTCGTAGTTAATTTATGATTTCCGTTCTTAATTTCTCTTAATCACGTTTTAACTCTGACTCGTCTGATCTTTGCAAAAAAAATAGTGTTTTTCGTGTGTAAATGACGTTTTAATCAAAACTCAATACCTTTGGTAGAGAGCACCACCCTCTCGTGGCCAAGTTCAGCCTCTAAATATGGTTTTCGGACAATTTTTGATTTTTAACGAAGGTTTAATGTTTAAAATAAATTTTCAGATTTTTATAAAGCTTTAAACTTGCTGTAATTTTATGAATAAGTATGTATTTTAATGTTTTTATGTAGGAAATTTTAAGAATAATATATAAGCTTTTAATTCTAGCAAGAACGAAGGTTTTAAAGTGTTATTTAATTGAATTTTGAAGGTTTGATTGAGTTTTTATGAAACTAGTTGAATTCTAATTATATATTTCAAGTTTAGATTGTTGTATTCATACATTCTACTATTAAATTAAATTTTCAGATTTTTAATCTTGGTTTTAAAGGTTTTGAATCATGGTTTATGATGGATTTTTAGGTTTTAAACATACTAACCTACTACATGATGATTATTTCAAGAAGAGATGTTTATGAGGTTGTTTTATAATCTTAAACTAAATTTCCAGATTATAATCCTTACTTTAAAGTTGCTGGAATTTTATGTTATAAGCTATATTTTCATGATTTTAACATATAAACTTATACTTGAACTATTGAATTATTAACTTTGACTATTGTGAGTAATTTAAAAGCATTACTTCAATGGTTTAAGGGGTTTTAAAGTAAGTTAATATTGCTGTAAATTATATTGCTTGGGTATTGATTGAATTATTATTGTTTGGTTTAGGAGAGGGCTTTGTAGAAGGCGATTTTTAATTCCGTAAGTGGCCAACCAGCTCGTGTCCTCAAGGTACGTACAAGGATATGAAAACCTTGACTTTAGAAACATGTTTAAGGACTTGGAAAACCTTAGAATCATGTTAGGAAACTTGTAGATTGGTTGGAATTGTATGGTAGTAAGTTTGATTGGTGATTAATGTGGTGATTGGCTTTGTTTCATGTATGAGAATTGCGTATTAATTTATCTTGTAAGTATTATTTATGCATTAACATGAAAGATGAGCTTAGAGGCAAAGGTACGTGAATATGTGGAGTGAATTATTGTATTACTCGTTCATGATTAATGAAATGGAATAAGTAAAGGGAGATTTAAAGTCTTATAAGACGAGGTTGAGGATTGAGGTGCCTTATGCACTTAAGGTGTTTATACACCGAGGTAGTTAAAGGATTCAATACGAAATATTGTTTGTCACTAATAAATCAAGAATTGAATTGGAAATTTGAATTGTTTGAATGATGGATGTATGATTGGTTGTATTGTTTTGCATTTGAGTCATCGCCAAGTTTAAACTGGTAAATCACGTAAAGTGCAAGATGGATGAGCAATAAAACTCTGGATTTGTGCACACCTAGAGTATTGACAAACAGGGGTTGGGGTACACGGGGTATTAGCCGAGTACTTTTCAAAGGTCGTCTGATCTACGAGTCTCTTGTTTTTAAATACTTTTAAAATTATAATGAGTTAGATGAGATCTCATACTAGCTGTTTTGGGGTTTTCTGATGTCCTGCGGGAGAGTTACAATTCCGAGACTGGAACCGGACTCCTGTACCTGCAAAATAACGGAGACTCCTGTGAGCTCCGCCTCCAACGGTCAAGTTAGTATCTGATTAAGGAGTAATTAATGCGGAAATTAAAGTGATTAGGTCTCTCTAGGTGAGAGTGATTAACGTAGGAAATCTGCTTTGTTAGCGAGATCAGCCGGTTATTACTGTGTGTAATTAATGTGTTTTTCCCGTAATGTTTCTGTGTTTTTCCTTAATGAGGATTAAGGGAGGTATTTATAACCTTGGAAAACGTGCCCATCCTAGGTTTAGGTTAACCTAGGGCCGATTGGGCTTCCCTCGGAAGTTGGGCCTGGGTGGCCGGTTTCTCCATTAGGCATGGAGTATGCCACATGTCGTGACATAACAGGTCCAAGGTGGACGAATAAGCGCGTGCCACGTGGCAAGCCCTGACAGTTCCAACTAGGGGACACTTGGCAGGACCTGATTGGTCCACGTGGCGCATTCCGATTGGTGGGAGAAAAATCCCCTAATCATTTGCCCCTCACAGGTGGCACGTGATTGGTCACGTGTTACCTGTGACAGGTGTCGCACTGTAACGGGCGACGGCCTGCTACAGGTGTCAGTCGGCGAAAGGACGAGAGATTTTCCCGCCCAAATTTTGAATTCTGAAAGTGACCCTTCGCCTTCTCACTTCGCCTATATAAGGGAGAGTTGTCTTGAGTCATTTTCACACTTTGAGAACTTTTTGTCAACATTCGGACCCCTGAACTTGCTCTGACATTTCGGACCTTTTCTGCCTACCGCCTGTTCTGACAAGCCGACTGCACCGGATTTCCAGAACTTCATCAACCGTCACTCGTTCAGGTAACTCAGTTCTCTTACTCTTAATTTTCTTTTTATTTTCTGAAATGGCACCACGGAAGCACACGACACGACCTAGGTTAGTGATCAGCCGGTCACCGGGGACGGCTGAATCTAGGACTAGGAGTGCCGCCGCCCTTTTCCGGACCCATCTTTCCCTTTATACAAAGTCCGACTGTATCTGTGTCTATGCAGAGCAGGATGGCCAGAACGAAAAAGACAGCTAGGATCTCAAATTCAGACGGCTCCTCCCACAAGGTGCCGATTAGTGAAACATCTGACCAGGCGCCAGATGTGGAAGTGAAACAAGGCGGCCTGGATGCCGGCAATTCTGTGGGGGGAGTCATAGTGACCCCTTCCCATTTAACAGTTAACAAATCTGCTCCTTTTCAAAGAGAGGAGGCGGGCCCCTCCGGGAGAGGGGAGGAGTCGTCCTCTTCAGACTCGTCGGAGGACGATTCCGAGTCAAGCTCCTCTGGCCAGGCTTCTTTGGGTACAGAAGAGAAAAACAGCCGCCTGCAAGAGGCGAGACTTTCTCACGCAGTTGAGAAGGGGGACAATTGGGCGGAACCATCCGCCTCTTACCG